GCAAAACCTAGTAAACTTGTTAATCAATCATAATCCGTTTTAAAAATTAAAATCCGTCCAACCAACTTCCTCCAGTTTTGTCTAGCTTGTTGGTCTAAAAGTCACTTTTTTTGCATCTACTGGAGCCCCCTTAACACATTTTAAGAGGACGTCGTACCCGCATGTGTCGTCTACACAGGTACAATATAGCAAATTTTCGTTCACCAGATGCAATAGTATGCCGTTAGTTTTGATATAAGAGTGAATTGACTCATGATAAAATATAAAAGCAAGATTATTATCTAGGGCCCCCAAGTAGTATTTCATGGTTATTAATATGTTTAAGTTAGTTATGATCATTTTAAAATGTACAGTTTCAAAAAGGTCACATTTTACTTAAAAATAATAATATTAATAAAAGCCTACGTGATGGGCTTTAGATAAAAATCTTGCCTTAAAATTGTATAATAGATCAATTCACTCTAACATCAAAACTAACGGCATAGGTACTATTAAATCTGGTGAACGATAATTTGCTATATTGCACCTGTGTTAGACGGAGACGACACATGAGGAGGTTACTACGTCCTCTTAAGGCTTATCAAATTAAATTTAACTAAAAACGGACTATGCACAATTAAATCAATAAATGTAGGTACCACCAGACACGTTACTCAATTATGTAAATGAATTGGATAATATTTTTACAGACAACCTTACACTTGCTATTAAAGATAATGTAGAATGAAAAATAAAAAAATTGTTAGATAACGTACCGTTTACACATCAATGGCCAAATTTTAATTAAGAATTTTTTAAAAGCCATTTTATAAGGTTGAGAATCTTTCAAAAAATTCAATAAAAATGTACCATGGGCTTTTAGAAAATATAGAAAATCGGACGTTCTTTCACATTTATAATAAATAATGTATTATGTATAAATTATATTTGACGATTTTTATTTTATTTTTATTATTTTATAAACAATGTTTTGTACGTTTAACATTTTACTTTACTATTTATTTTTTACATAAAATAATATTTTGTTGACTTAAATATGTTGGGAATATTGTTATAGAAGGTAGTATTAAAAAATATAAGATTGTATTTATTTATGTCACCTTCAAATTCGTATTATGAACTTTAAAAAACTATTAATTATCTAATTTAGAATAAAAAAAAAGTTAAAAATTAATATTTTAAGTGTCATACCCATTTTTGTGTCTTACTGTTCAGTCTGATATTTCCTCCAAAGTCATGGCGAACTGATTTATTTCATATCAGTTTCTTTTTTGATTATTCTATTTTTATGAAAAATCAACTGACGGAATTATTTCTTGACAAAGCACATAAACAATCCAATGTAGCGATATTAAGTGACCTTACAAGCTTTTACGACTATACGATTATAACTCTTAAAGAAGAGGACTCCATTAATAGGATATGTGAAAAAAATTTGAATTGCAAGTATACCACTGATATAATACACCAGGTTATTCCGGATATTTACCTCAATAATAAATATATATTCTTATGTGGAAAAACATTTTTCTAAATATTTTAAGTTAATGAAAAAGCGCCCTCTGATATAGCGTTATGGGAATTTATAAAAATGATAAGTGTCCTTCAATGCATAAATAATTCATGTTTATTTACTCGTCTGTAAATATGTTTAGCGCATTTGCTGTGGTAGGTGTATATGACTGACCAAACTCAAATATTAAAGTTGGTACATTTTCCCGTTTACAATTCCCGTTTATTATCCTCGCCTTGTCTAAGCCTCCCCCCTAAGGCTACATCACCATCCAAGGGTGTAGTATTGTTATGATGTTGCCCACAAGTCGGATGCTGACTAGGTTAGGTTAGGTTCATTTTAGAATATCGTTAATTTTTATTTGAATGTTACAAATATAGATCTTAATTGTGAACTAACAGCAATTCCAATAAAACCAAATGAAGTGACTATACATTATGAACAATCACAGAGAACCAGTACACCTACAATTTCTGAAAATTGCCATTGTTAGTACTTATTATTTATTATGTCTTGTCAAAAAATATTATTATTATTACATCAATGGCCAAATTTTAATTAAGAATTTTTTAAAAGCCATTTTATAAGGTTGAGAATCTTTCAACTTTTACTTTACTATTTATTTTTTACATAAAATAATATTTTGCTGACTTAAATATGTTTGTGAATATTGTTATAGTAGGTAGTATTAAAAAATATAAGATTGTATTTATTTATGTCACCTTCAAATTTGTATTATGATATGAACTTTTAAGAACTATTAATTATGTAATTTAAAATAAAAAAAAAGTTAAAAATTAACATATTAAGTGTCATGCACTTTTTTGTCTTACTGGTCAGTCTGATACTTCCACTGATTTTAACACCAGCCTATGCTGACTGTTTTGTTTCATATCAGTGTCCTTTCTGTTTATTCATAAACCAGCCAAATACAATGTAATGAATGTCCAAATTGGATACCAATGGGCTATAACCAAAACCTCGGGAAGAGGTTTTGAATTGAAAGGAAATAATTTTCTCATGCCTCTTTTATTCATTTCTAATTAACTTATTTTTTCATATTAAGCAAAGCCTACTCCTGCCAGTGAAGTATCCAGAATTTTTGGGCATGTACCAGTTGCCCCCAAAAGTACCTTTTTTATACCAAATCCCCCCAAACTACTTAGAGGAAAAAGTACCAGTTGCCCTCAACCAAATGTACCAGTTGCCCTCATATGTTAATATATACACAAATACGATATATAGCTCGTAAAATAGGGGAGGTAAATATACAAATCATAAATAAAATATAAAATTCAAAATTATAATAATTTGTCAATATAAAATAATAAAAAATCAAAATATAATAATTTGTCAACATATAAATAGTATAAAATTCAAAAGTATTATGTTTTGTTATAATAATTACTAACCGATTTTACAAAATCTAATCTGCTAATATTTTTGTTTTTATATTTATTTATTAAATCTTCGATCCTTGCTTTTTTGTTTAAGTATTAATAAGTATGTGCGATTTGTAACATCTTTAATTTCGTTTACACTGCTTACGGAAATGTATGTATTTGTTTGTACTTCTTTTAGAACATTTACGAAAGTAAAAATATTTGGATGTGCACTACTAAAGTTCCTCGAAAATGACGAATGAAATGATTCCCCTTTTCACTATACACTCGCAAAATATTTTCCATCGTGTTAACAACGTCAGTGCTTTTCGTATGTCGTCTACTGAAATGTACTTATCAAAGACGTACCTAAGTATATATCGCATCATGCCATCATATAATAATTTCTCTCAACCATACAAATACTTATAAAGATATAATAAATGATAATAACAAGAGTATTCCGATAAAGCTTAAATAATATAATAATTTTAATTTGTCGTTAGATACTCATCGTTACTTATAAATCGGTTATATCCACTCAGACGCATCTAAAATTACATTTTATGTTGACAAATTATTATAATTTTGAATTTTATATTTTATTTATGATTTGTATATTTACCTCTCCTATTTTACGAGCTATATATTGTATTTATGTATATATTAACATGTGAGGGCAACTGGTACATTTAATTGGGGGCAACTGGTACATTTGTTTGGGGCAACTGGTATGTTTTTAAAATCGCGATAATAGCCGTGGGGGGCAACTGGTAAACACCCGAATTTTTTTTTAGGAGGGGGGCACACACTGTCTAAATTTTTACCATATACACTACCTACTACCAAAAAAAAAAAAAAACCAAATATTTAATGTTTTTAATGCAAATAATTTATTTATATTTTCTGTCAGTCATTAAGTTAATACATATTATATATACATAATAATAAATAGTAATAATAAATAATTAATAATTTAATAATAAAAACGGGTTAGTCCCAACAAAACTATAAGTGTTTAAAATAATTCGTGTTTGTGTCCACAATAATGTGAACAGAAACAAGGACATTCTATGAAATTTGATATGAAAATTGTAGATGCTGTGCGGGGTGTACACCCTAATGTCAATAAATATGTTTATCCATTTAATAAGGTTAAGTAAAAACTGTTATATTTTTTTATAATAGTTACAAAAGAGGGCTTTCTGATAAAGATTTATGAGCATTTTTGACATGGCTAAATAACTTAGTAACTAGCAAATAACTATGTTATTTAGCCATGATATAACTAATCTATTACCCAGGGAAATCAAATTTAATACTAAAAAAAATAAGTAAAGATTAAGTTTGCTTAAAGTTAAAGCTAGTTTGTTTATCGTCGCAGAAACGTAAATCAACAATTAAAAACAAAACAAAAACACCTATGTACCTAATTAGTAATTACCATGAATTAAGATATATCTTGGTTCATCTTAATTCATGGTAATTACTCAATTATTTTCTTTGCAGAGGAAAAATATCTAGTACTATACGCTATATGGATTTTATGAATCGCGGAAAAAATGCCCACGGAAAAAAAGCCCATGGAAAAAAACCCACCGAAAAAATTAAAATTAAAAATAAATGTTAATACATCTATATTTAATATAATTATTATATAATATTGATGATATAGATAATCATTTTCAAACTACACTGAACTCTATGTTCAGTGTCAAACTATCAAACATTTTAGGTGCCTATATAATTGTTTAATATTCTCACAATCTCACTTAATAGATAACAAAATGTTTTGATGCGGTTTTTGTATTATAATTATTAATTTTAATTAATATATTATGTATTGTAAATGAAATTGACGGCTATTTAAAAATATATTTATTGCATTTAGTTGCAACACTTATTTACAAAAATGGTTTTCTTATAAATATAACGTACCTACTATAGTATTTTTTACAATTTATAATCCTTGCCGATTGCCAGTACCGCGTTGGCGCGATTTACAAGCTCAAATATTTTTTGGAGCAAGTGACTCTTGGAAAAATTATTTCTTGGAACAAAATGCGATGCTCCGTCCTTATCAATGTCTAAGGTGACGACTTGGCGTTCGACGATAATCTCTTTCTTTTCCTATTCGAAACTTGTAACGTGTTGAGTTTTGATTTTCAAAAAAATTGTAACTTCCGAATTAATTCATACTTCGGAGATACGTAGCACGTTAGGAAACACATTAAAACACACGATGGCTGTCATCGATTTTCAAACCGCGCCAGGAGTGGAGTTCCTCGAAAACTACTTGAGCAAGAAAAGTTACATTGTCGGGTAAGCGGCTAACCTAAAAACCATATGTACTTACCCTGTGCACATACTTAAGCGTACATTTATTATTCTCGGATATTCACGTTTCAGATACGAACCGTCCACAGCCGATGTTGACACTTATGTCGCCGTTAAAGCGCCCCAGGCCAACACACCTAATTTGCTCAGGTGGTACAACCACATCAAGTCGTTCACCGACAAAGAGCGCACCCAGTTCCCAAAAAAGAAATCCGAATTTTCATCGCCTCCGGCAAGTGCACCAAAACCTGCGGATGATGATGATGACGATGTAGATCTTTTCGGTTCCGACGATGAAGACGTATGTCAATTTCAATTGCATTTTTTTAATATACTATAAATATACCTGATAATTTTTATCTACTAATGTTTGATTTGGATGCATTAGCGCATCATTTTATTGCATACATCTAATACTTCTGCCAAAACTTTTATAAACATTAGTCTTACAGTACACATAATATTATCTCTTTTATGGTTATGGCTCTCACTCAATTCAATTTTAATACCATTCTATAATTTTTCTCCAATTGTAACATTATTTATTTTCTTGAGGAATTTTTTGGTAATAATGATGTAACAATTATTTGGTATGTTATTTTTATTGATAATGTACATTCCAGGATGAAGAAAAAGAACGTATCAAACAAGAAAGAGTAAAGGCTTACGCTGAAAAGAAAGCTACTAAAAAAGTAATTATCGCCAAGAGTAGCATTGTACTTGATGTAAAACCATGGGATGATGAAACCGATATGAAACAATTAGAAACACAAGTCCGAACCATTGCCATGGATGGTTTAGTATGGGGAGCTTGTAAGTATATAACTTTAAAAAAAAATTCTGGTATTAACTATTTATATTTATTTGTTATATTGTTATATTACAGCAAAATTAGTTGAGATTGCTTTTGGTATCAAGAAACTTCAAATTATGTGTATTGTAGAAGATGATAAAGTATCTGTCGATGCTCTTACCGAGACCATTCAAGAATTTGAAGATTTTGTACAATCCGTGGACATTGCTGCATTCAACAAAATTTAAGATCTTATTAATTCTTAGATATTTGTCAATTTACTTCATTAACATGAAAATATAAAGCCAATTAATTTTTAACTAATTGGAAGTAATATTTTTGTTTTATTTTTCGTTCAAGATTCATAATTTATATTTGCAATAAAATAACTATATGCTATTAAATTAATTTCTGTTAGATAGTAATCAAAGTTCTTAATTTCAATCATTAAGTAAGAGCTCAAGTCTTGAAGAGTATCATACTTTTAGTTCACGGTTCTAACCAAAAAATGTATAAGTTTTTTTTGTATAAATGCAATTAATTGCAGATGATACAGAAAACAGTAGTTATATTTAATTTGTGTTTAAAAGGTATAGTATTGCGAGGTGAATCTATTGTTGGATTAAATTAATAATATTTATATTAATCTATTGCCACAGGGTTTTCCAAAGAACATATTATTACGATGCGGTGTTTGTTGTTTATTATTAGTTATTTCTATATATTTTATATTATGCAACTTATTAAGCCAAAAGGTTTTGTATGATCCTCGTTGTTACTTATTAGGTTGTTAAGATTGTTCTAAAAATTCTTAAAGAGGAACAAATGCAGTTTGGTTCCCACGAGATTTTGTCGATTTTTTCCCCCCCAAAATGTGTGTTTTAAAGCACTGAATACACTTAGTCTAATTCCAAAATTCTCGCATTTTTTTACATGAAAAGTTATTCCCAAAAAATTATAAAAATGTACTTATTAAATATTTTGTATGTTGTGTATGATGGATGGATGGATGGAAATATGCAAATAGATTTTAAGTATCGTACCTGCTGCTTAAAAACTTCGAACTTAAATGTGAAAATTTAAATAAAAAATATTATTTTGCTTGGGCAGTGATTACGCGTGTATCGGCACTCGTCACTACGCTCCTCGGCGCCGCGGCCGTCGCTCCGCTCCGAAAATCGAAAATTATTCGAAATTATCCATCGACCTATTATGTAAAACCACCTTATGTAGATCATAGCCCTCAGGGTAAAAACTAAGTCTATTAAAGTATTCATATAACTCTACCTTCCAACAATCGCTGATAATTGTAGTCACAACATTGTGAGCCGACAATGAAAACGTAAGAAAGTAGGTAGGTACCTAAAGCGTTTCGCGTATGCTTACGTAAAATCGTAAACTTTGGAAAGATAGAACTTCAAAAATAATGATTGAAGAGAATTTTAGAATTAGACTTTAGTGTTCAGTGTTTTAAGACACACATTTTGAGAAAAAAAAATCGCGTGGGAACCAAACTGCATTTATACCTACCCTTATCACGATCTACGGAACACCGAGTTTTATTTCATGTTATTACTATAAAACATGGATTAATATTAAAATTCTCAATTTGACTAGGATGTTGTGCCCAAATAGCCAAATGTGTTAACCATCTTTCATAACATATTATTATATTAACAGGGGAAATGTAACGTTTATAAGAATCCAGTTTACACATATTATTTTTAATATTTATTTACAACCTGTGGGACTGTCCATCGGTCGTTTAGTGACTAGACAACATAGGCGCAACTAGACCTCTAAAACAGGGGGTGCTAAATATGTGAATGCACCAAAGAGCCGTGGGGGCTTCGTCCCCCACACCCCCTACACATGAGCCTGCAATGCTCGATAATTCAACATTTTAAAACATATATTAACACACTTCACATAAATAAAATAAAATAAATTTATAATACTTTTTTTGCTAAAATTTCAGTAACATAATGATATATTAGAATTTCATAATTTTGTTAGTAAATAACTTATATATATATATATAATACATTTTAAATTAGTATAATTTTTCTAGGTTTCATAGAAAATTTATTTAAAATAGTTTCAGTGTTAAGCTGATTTAATAAATCTTTTTCAATATTCAGCAAAGATAAATTGGTAAACCTTTGCTGAAGCATACTTGATCTTAACCAGTTTTATTATTTGCTTTATTATTATGGGAATATCCGTGTATGGAATGAATTAGAATGAATTATATTATAAGACTTACGACCAAATAATTAAATATTTTTTCAGGAAATTTATCATAATATTTAAAAACATAACATTCATGGTATTTCAATAAAATAATAAAAGTTAGATATAAAAAACAGGGGGTGCTAAAGACCTTTTTGCACCCCCCTAGTTGCGCCACTGCTAGACAATTCTAGTTCAATTTTTGTATGTATATAATATTACAATTAAGGACTTAAGGACTATGAAATAAGTTAGTGTTATAACTTATCACTCTTACAAGTAATCCACTAGACCACAATAGTACAATACCTACTACAACAGTAGGGAATATTCGAAGAATCAACAGGAAATTTAAAATCATTTCCACTGACGACGGTTTAAACGTTTGGTTAAAAAAAAAGTAATATAGTAAATGAAAACGACTGTATTAATACCGTAATGAGATTGGTTGTCTTATAAAAAAATTAATAGAATATTAAAAATTAAATTCCTGAAATAAAATATAACGTTTTCCCGATTTTTTGAATTCACAATATTGGGAAACAGTCTATTAATTAACTGTACCTAACTATATTCATTAACTAACTATCGTTATGACATTTATTTTATTATTATTGTTATTTGTTTCATTTGACGTAGGTATTATTCGAAATACCTATTTGTATATTATGCAATATTTTTAAATGCGAGTGGCTAAATTAATTTAAACTATTGTTTGATAATTATTTTTATTTTTTATTTTATAATCCTTTTAATATTATATTATTTATTAATTGAAAATAGTAAAAAACTTATCAAAATATTATAATAAATTTCATATTTTATTTCGGGGATTTAATTTTTACAGAATTATCCATAATATCGTGGTATAAAACAAAATATTATTGAAAAATATTTGTTCAATCATTTTCATGGGGTTGTGGGTAATATTTTAGCATAGACAAGTATAATGTAATATAGAAATATTTTTTTATTTTATATAGTATATTGCAGTCTGTCGCCTTTGGGCTGTGGCTTTTTATTCCGATTAACCCGTGACAGTAGACTTTTAAAATTTCAAATATTGAATATTTATTCGATAACCTCAAAATCTTATCACGGCCGTCAGGTTTGTCGTGCGTAAGACGTGCAACTTGCAAATTCCATTGATAAGGTGGAATATTTAATGTGCCGAGAATAGCAGACTGCAAATGCCAAACATTAAACATTTTTTTTTATTTTAAGCACTAAACAAGTAGTAAAAAGCATCAAACAGTATACCTACACCCTACGGCCTACACGGCTACACCCTGCTTATTACAGTCGGCGGAGTTGACTTACCGCTACACGAAGCACTCGCGCCTGTTTGGATTTTTATTTTCAAGTGAAATACGCAATCCAGTTGGAACAAACAAATCGTATCATGGAGCCGGCAAGGAAACGAGGTGCACTATCCGGGCTTAGCGAGATGGGCAACGTAGGTCCCGAAGATCTTGTCACTGCAATGGTTGAGTATACAATTTATTAACAATCCCGTTGAACATTTGAAATCGTAGGGCCTAACTTTTTTTTAATATTGCACTACAATTGTTGACGGTTTTCGACCGAAAGAACACGGATTTAACTGTGCCGAGCAACAAATAATAACGTACCGACCATCGAATCTCGTACAAATAATGTTTATTCATCAAACACGTTCATTACGCGAAGATCCAGGACAGAATATTCGGCTATTGCTCTGTATTCACATGTTCCTGGTTTTCCTGGCCGAATTTACGATCGCTGAGAATAATTCACCGAGTTAGTTAGTTAACAAAAATATTATTATTACATATCTATCATATTATACTTGATCTCTGTCATAATGCTGTTTCAATATATTATTACTCATTGTTAGATATCATTTTTGAGATCAATTGACTATGCGACAAACATATTTCTGATCACTCAGCCAAAGTATGAAACAGATTTTAATTCTGTTTTAATAAAAAAAAAAAGTGAATATTGGCGTATAATCACAATGTGTAAACAATACCACCATTCACATGCATCCCCGTTTTTTTATGTAACTGCGTTAACTGATTGTGTTTATTTTATTTCAGTCAATTGATGTTGAATTTGAGGGGCGCAGTCCAGAAGTCACAGATTTTCATTGTATTAAACAGTTGTTACAACAACTGTTTTTAAAAGCTCCAGTAAACTTGTCTGATTTGACTTCAGTACTTATTCATCAACCCAACATTGGCTCAGTTATAAAGGTATATAACTTTAAAAGTTAGTTTAATGACTCAGAAGAAAGCCACACCAGCATTCATTGTCTCACAAAAGTACAACATAGCAAATGTGTGTAATAACTTTTAATAATAAAGTGAAAGACCTACTATCAAACTTATTAGTAAAAACATTATCTGTATTTTATAATGTGATTAACATCCAAATTGGAATTGCTGAACACAAATTTGCCATATTGTATGTTTGTAAGACAGATACAACACTTGTGAGTGTAAAAATATATTTTCATGCTTTGATAATAATGTAACTACTTTATGATTAGCAAGTTTCTGATGAGGATGACGAAGACGATGATGAAGATGACTATTATGGTGTTGATGTCAATCAAGTATTTGGAATAACTTCAATCATCAATATTACAGAGAAAGTAATGTTACTAATGTTTTGATTTAATGTTTTTACTTATTACTGAAGTATTTATGTGTATGTTACAGACAAGTGAATGTGTAGAAAATTTAAACAAATTAATGTTGGACTTGAGTAACTTACATAGTGATAGTGACACAACACGGTTTATAAACAGATTGTTGAGTGATGATGATAATCAAGTTGGGTTGGTAATAAACGAAAGATACGTCAACATTCCCCCGCCTATTTCTGTGCCATTATTTCAAGCCCTTCGGTATTATTATTTTTATTATTTAATAAATACAAATAATATTATATTCTCTCTGTATTTACTTCTTCTGTCTCTTATCACAAAAAAACACTCATTATTTCAGTAGATATTTGGTAGAAATTAATATGCTACTTAATTTAAAATGTCCAATGTATATTATTAAATCATAAGTGTTGTTGTGTTTCAAAAACTTTATTGTATTTTTATAACATATAATAAATATAATTTCAGCAAGGAGTTGTCCAATCTAAAATCTAAGAACCGATCATACAATTTTAATTATATTATTATGATATGCAAACTTTACAAAATGAAGAAAGATAAGAAGAAGGGAACCAAAAGTTACGAAGACTCAGAAATAATATGGTCAAATGGTGAAGAGGAGTTCTTTGACGAAGTACGCAAATAGGAAAAAAATGATTTATTTAATGGCGTATCTTGTGGTATGCACTCTACAGCATGTTGCAATCTACAAGCAGTTATGTGATGTTTGTCTGTTGTGTTCTAGTCGTTCTACCTCTCTACTGCAATTTTAATTATTTGATGCACATACTCAGAGGATAGAGTTTGTGAATGACTTAGGCTACACATAGTAAAAATTATGTGTGTTAACACAACTGATAATATTCCAAGGGTTATTATTATTGTGTAATAATATAATTTTATATGTTTATAAATATAATACACAGATATTACTGGTATCTTATTGAAACAAAGTGGACAAGAACTAATAAGAGGGACACATTTACCTTTTTTTTTAAGGGGCATGACCCAAATACTTAAATATTTTTTTTCTAATTATTAATTATATTTAAAAAAAAAACAAAATTTAAAAGTGTATATTTGTAAGTAATAACTGATAAATAATGAGATGACAACAACAATGTCATTAATAATATAATAATTTTTAACAATGCACTAACTACACTAAACTATGAGTATTATTTAATTCATCATTAAAACCACTTAAAATATAATATTATTTAAATATTTTTGGAGAGTGACAAAAAGTAGTAGAGCACATTCTGCAGTTGTAATGTTGCCTGTAGAGGGCATAGTGCAAATTAGATATTTTTAAATAATAGAACATAATTGTCTTTTACGTTTATTTCAGGCTGCAGATTACAAATTTGAGTTTTGTGTGCAAAATGACAAGGGTTCTGGCTTAGCAGGCACCTGGGTAGAATCAGATCCTGAAATGATTCCTTTTAGACGTGTTCTAATATTCTCTATCGAAAAATTCTACTCAATAACTAACCAACTTGAATCTTTGGTAGCGGACAAAGATACTAAAGGCTATCAGCATGAAGGTTAATCCACTTTTTATAATACATATATTTTTTTGTTATTAAGTTAAGTTAAATTAAATACATTTGGTTGTATTTTTTACAAAATAATCTAATGGCATATAATACAATTTACAATTTCAACTAATTTTCTTACTTACTGTTAATTTATATACAAGAAAAATATACATGATTATTAGAGTGTTAATGACAATGTGTTTGCTGTTTTATTCATGTCCCTCAAAATACCTATAGTAGTTTTCAATTATAAATTGTACAAATAGACTGTTCCGTGTCATGACCTGTGGTGAATATCCATAAAAGAAATATTTTGCCAAGTACATGAGTTCCTGGAATCAAGCTTAAGCCCCAAAGCTAACACTGTTAATAATTTTGATTTATAATAGTTGAATTAACTTACATTAATAATGTAATGGTCATAAAATAATTTAACTATGAGTTCTAAAATATAATTAAGCCATTTAAAATAATTATTTAATTAATATTAACACAATACTAATCAGTTTTTATTTAAATGAGTTGATATGGGCTTTAAAAAAAAATTGGCATACAGCTGTTTTTTGGAAAACTAGTTTTTCTCAATATAAGAATAAGATGAATTATATGATGACTTTAGAGTAAAATGTTGTTATTTGTCTTAGTATTTGTTTGGTAATATTATCGTGTTTTTCCACAATAGACGACCATTAATTTATTTTGGTAGGACATAGTTGTCTTCTCTTATAATATCTTTGTTCTATTGAAAAAACGAATAATACAATTTATAATGTTACATATTAATAATCAAAATTAATCTTATTACATTTAATGTTTTGTTTAATAAAATATTTATCCCATACACAAAATGTATGCCTTTATGATAGGTGTATACTATAAAGGTAGGTAAATAGAAGTTGTTTTTATAATTTATTATTAAATATGTTATATATTAATATATTGTTTTAATATTGTAATATTAAATGCTAAAAAAAAAAAATTGTGCTTATGTAGCTTGTAGTAAACCCAAAAGAGTAGTATATTATTCATTATTATTCTATAGCAATTATTAGAATATATTACTTAGAAATCATAACAATAAATTGTACACGAGGCATAATATATGATAGATAGGTAGGTATAAATATGTAATGTTCGGAAAAGCCTAAATAACAGGAAACAGAGATCAAGAGTGAAAACAACAAGTTGTTTTTCCCTATTATACATAGTAATGTGATTCAGCATTATTGGGGTGTAAAATTAGAATATTAATATATCACGCCATAATAAGTCATCGTTAGAACCCGCATAAATGCCGGTAGAGCACCTACTAAATGTTAGAAGATATTCAGCACTGCTCGACAGCGTGACGCGCTTACGACAGCGTGCTTAGAGATTGTTTATGTTTATAAATTATAATCAATAAATTGTTTCATTTTATTTGACTAAACGGGTCTAAGTGTTTTATTAATTTCAATACATATCTTCTCAACATACGTCTCAAGACAGCGACGGACGAACGTGCTACGTCGTTTAAATAATTATTGTGGTCCGGATCGTCGTGTCCCGCACAGCGATCACTACAAGCTTTAATATTTGTTGGCTGATATTTTAACAATATATCATTAGTCTCATATTGAGAGGACGTCGCACCCGCATATTATATTATAGTATTGTTGTCTACTTGTCTCCGTCTTACACACGTACACCATAGCAAATTTTACTCTCGGCAGATCACGTTTAGCTCCGTTAATTTAAAAATTAGAGTGAATTTACCTCTTATAAAATTTAAAGGTAAGATTCACACGTTTTTTGACGAAACAAATAAAATTTTGGGGGACGAGGTGACCGAGTGGTCTGACTCTTCCGCTGTGACGCAGCCGGTCGCGGTTCGATCCTCGGCCACCGGGCGGCATTTTTCTCCGGACAATTCGCGGTGACCGGAGAACAAGTGCTGCCATCCCCCACCCCCGGGGCATGGCAGAAACCTACGGGTGCCCCATTCGAAATTCTGCCAAAAACAAACACACACGTGTTCCCCCTACCGTTCCAAAAAAACCTACAAACCATCAATACAAAAAAACCTACAGTACCTACTAATAGCTAATGGCCTCAGTTGCCGGGCTCAGGATCAATTAAAAAAAAAAAAAATAATAAAATTTTATACTGAATAATAATAAAAAAAAAAAAAAAACGAAAAAAATTGAAAATTGAAAATGCCCATAAAAACAGTTCAAAGCTAGTCAAAATATTTAGAAAAATTTATCAAGTATATGAATTGATAATGCTTTTGAAAACTATTGGGAATTTTTTTACTTTTGACCCCCAAAGTACCAACTAGATCCACTTTCCTACCAGTAAAGATGATGTTGAAAAAATCGAAGCACTTTTAGCATCCAAAAGGTGATGACAGTAAAAAAAAAACACACACACACATCATTGTAAAATCAAAATATTCATCGCTCCGCTTGGAATCTAAAAGTAGAACACTGTAAATAGCTCAAAAATAGCCAAAATATTTTGAAAATTATAGCACTGCAGCATTGTCCAGATTTTCATAACAAGAAAATGTCAGCAACAATTATTTGACGAGCATGATAAATATCTACCAGATTTATGTACTACGGGTTATTCATTTTTTGCTTAATAATACATTTACAAAATCGATGGAAGACCCGGGAGTTCCATAAATGTTCCGAAAATATGTGGAAATTGTTTTTGTTTTTACCAATTATTTTTTAACGTATTGGACATTTTTTCCTCGGTACAAACTGAATTCAATTATCTCCTAGACACCATCCATCCCCTACACTGAACCATTTTTCTGCTCTCAAAAAAATGTTGCTCCCCCCCCCCCAGATCTTTGCTCTGGATCCGTGCCCGGTGACCGGTACCGCCTGTGTCGTTGTTGCCGCCGCCAACGCCGGATGTCTGTACAGGATATTTTGTCGTCAGTACTACTTTGCCAGTTCACAGTTCACCTGAAATACAAATAAAAGGAAAAAACCTCACGAAAGTGTCACGTGCATCATAATAATTAAAACGTGTGTGTGTGTGTGTGTGTGTATCACGCCTAACGGACGACGTGGCCATGACCTGTTGCAGTCGTAGCGCACTGAAACAAAACCTTTTTTTTTTTACATTTTTTGACGGAAAACGGTTATTACAATGATTCGTACATCGTAAAGAATTTTGAGCAAATGAAACTATTCAAGATTGTGAGTTGGTGCGTCTGGGAGGTGAAAATTGTGCCAAAGAAACAAAAAAAAAACATAGGAAAATCTTTTGATTTAATAATGAATTTGAACACTCAGACGAAATTAATATACATTTTCAGTAAGGTTTTTGTTTTTCATATAAACTAAAATTCATATCATACAATTCTTACTCAAAATAGTTTTCAAACTTACACAATTTTGACGTTAGCCGTTTTTTTTAGTATTATTAAAAAATAATTACAATCTACACACGTTTGGTGCGATAAGCATAATAATTTCGATTAAAGTTAAAATATGTCTAGCGAGACTTACAGATTTGGAAGGGCACTCAGTACTGCCACCCTACAGAGTACAGAGTACGGATCAAATTACAAGATCTCAAGATCGGGTTCCTTTGCGACGTCTCTGGGGGTTATCGGGGCTCGTATTAGCCGATCGTTGTGACGGTTAAACTCGGAGAGAAAGGAGACATATAGTGAGACTTTTGGTTATTCGAGAGAGAGATGGAACATTTAGGTGTTTGTGGAAATTGTTATTCGTGATGAACCACGAAGCAGAGTCAGCAGAGACATTTTGCAACAGACGGATTGACTGGAAAGCCTGAATTATAGTTCTCGTGTTGGAGGGCTTGGCAGAGCCCCGGATCTGGGTGCCGCAGGGGTAAGACCAAACAGGTCTAATAATTGCTTTGTATATTAGTAGTTATTATTACTGCAGATTGCTGTCTTGACGAAAGCTGTTGAATTTTAAATCAAACCGCTCATAAAAAAATATTATGACTATAGGTATGTGTTTTAGATATTTTTTAATTGCCGGGTAGTGATGTCGTACGCGATCTACCTAAATAGGCGATCTACCGGTTTTTCCGAGCGCCGCTAAGATAATTTACGATTTTAAGATTATTAAATCATAGCCTAAATTTTATTGATCCAAGTACAGGAGCGCATACTCAGTCAATCGAGGGTCTTTGGCGTATTTGAAGAAAAGACACGGTAAAATAGCAAACGGAGCTTTACTCGAAAGGCAGTTGAAAGAAGAGTGGTGGCGAATGGCGATCACTTCATCCATCCATAGATACAATATTAATTGACGATTTTCTTTCACACACGAAAACAACATTTTTAGTTTAAGGTATTTTATAAAAATAATACTTGTATATTCTTTGTATGTATATTATTATTTCGTTGTGATAAAAATAATACGGAAATTAAATACTATTTTTGGTAGATCGCATACATGAGTACCAATTGCTGTAAGAACTCAGTATTACATTTTTAAACATTTGATCCAGCTAAGATTTTTACATCAAGGTTTTGGTTTATAGAAAAACAAATCATCGGACATTTCAAATGTCTGTAAATAGCTCAAAAAGAGTTTAAATGTTTTTTAATTTCATCGTATACACTGTACAGTAAATGACAATGTAGGCATTTGGTGAAATGTTTAAGTACCTATCTACGGTTACTTGTTTTTGAGTTTAACGTTTACCTAAAAAATATATTTCTCCGAAAACCGGCTTTGCATAAAAATAAGTTTTTCCACTTTCCCCGAAGATTTTCAAAAACTGTGGTAATTTTCGGTTTTTCCTCCTTAAGTACTAACTATATCCAATTGGCCAGGAACTGTCCCCTAAGTAGAAAATCGAAGCTTTTTTTTTAATTACCTTCCGTGTAAACGGACACAAAAAAAACACACATCATCACTCTGATGTTCTAAATGTCTAATACATTCATCTTTCAGCTCAGGTTTTAAAATAATAGTACTTTTAATTACAAAAAGTTCAACTAAGTATGACTGTAATTTAGTGAGCCATTCGGGTGTGTAAATAACAGGATAATACATTTTTTGCTTATTTAATGTCAGTAGTACCTACCTCCTAGTTAATATTGAATTTATACTTATTTTATTTTACATACAAGTATACCCGTTTTATTTAGGTTCACATAGAACACTGGCAATTTATTTTCATTTTCGACATCCGTCTATTACATATTTATTTATTTTATACTACAAAATTACTTAGTTATTCCTGATTAGGTGTTAATTGTCTGATAACAATTAAGATCTATATTACGCTTGTTTTTTAGTATGATTAAATTTAGATTCTTTTTGTCTGTGGAATATTATTTATTCTTATTTAAAAATGTTAAAAGAAAAAATTGTTTATAGGGGGCAACACGTTCAAGACTACTAGTATAATCCATATAGTGCACGACAAAATAATTAATAAATATTGTAGCCATTGAAAAAAAATTAATTTAGATTCATAACTACTTTTAAAAGAAAATTGTGATCATTATGAATCCATTATTAGTTTATACGTGGTGCGATTTATGACGAAGTAAATTATTTTTATTCACACCATTACAATATCATACATATAATATGTGATGTACTTAACACCAATACTTTACTTTAGTACTTAATTTTTAACTGAATGAAAACACTAAAAATGTAACTTATAGTTTGTTTTTATAGGTCATATAAAGTAAATCTTTTAAGACTGAAACTAAAAAAACCAACAATTATCCAAGTACTTTTATATTTTAATAATAAAGATACAATTCAGATTTTATAAATTAGTAAAAAAGTTTGTTTACAAATTAATGGTACAAAATAAAAAAGAAATCCATTTAGGAAATGAGTTCTTAAGTATAATTAGACGTTACATAATTATTAATTAATTAATATAGTAATGTATAACAATACCAACTTAATCGAAGTTTTAATTTAAATGAGTTTCTATAGGCTACAAATACTGGGCATACAGTTAAAAATTAGGTACTTAATCTAGGCAAAAAAATTGTAAATTTGTTTTGATGCATTCTAAATTAAGGACACACTGCACACGGAACACACAAATATTGAGATTAATCCTAAGTAGTGTCTTATTCGTCATCTTCGTCTTCATTTTCTTCTTTGCTGTCTTCTTCCTCAGCAGATTCTTCCTTTTCTTTTTTGTCACTCTTCTTTGGGCGACCACGTTTACCAGTCTTGCTCTATAAAAGGAAATTAATAAAAATTTTGATTAGGACAGTACAATTTGACTAGCATACTTTAGGCTTGTCGGTTTTTTTTGCAGCTGATGCCCCAGACTTTGGTGGACGACCTCTGCCTCTCTTTGCTGGAACATCTTCGTCCTTCTTCACAACATCTTTGTCTTTCTTTTCAACTTCACGTGCCCGCTTCTTGGATTCTTTAATGGAATCCTAATAAAAAAACAAATAAATATAATTTTTAACATTGTCTGTGTAACAAAAATAAAAAAACAATAATTTAATACAACAGGGTAATTACCTCAGACTTGTCTTTTGCTGGGCGTCCACGCCTTTTTTCTACTACGGCTTCTGAATCAGACATCTAGAAATGAAACAATAAATTTTTTAGTTATATTATTTAGGTCACTATACATTATGTACAACAAAAAAATTAATTGGTAACAGAAATATAGACTAGGCTATTTTAAAAATTTGTCATTATTTTTTCTATTATTATTACTATCCCGTAGTACTTATTCTGTATGACACATTAACCACGGTCTTGATAGTTAAGTTACCTAAATAAAAAATATTGCTACTATGTATTATAGGTGTAACAAAATATACGCGTAAAAAAATCCAATTTAATAATTTATCTCAAATGTGATCACGACAGAAGTGCAAAAAAGGAGCAGAAAAAAAATACACCACCAAAATATCCAGGGCAGTCTCGTTACGCCTCGTATAAACAGTAAATGTCTGTCGATCAAAGACGTCATTAATCTAATTAAAAACGCGCGTAATGATAATAATAATATTATTTGAAATAAAAATAAATAATAATACCTCTGGTTCGTGGGGAAAAAAACGACGGCGCGCACGAAAATAAATATAATTGAAATAAAATCAAAAACATAAACACAAAACGGAACGGACAAGTCGAGCTGAGATGAATGGAAAACGCGCACCACTTCCCGCACAAATGCACAATGCAATACACACTCCAGGCATCGGTGGGGGGGGGGTTGTTTTATTTAACGTTTTTTCCACGACCGACCAATGGGAGGCCGCATAGAAATCGGTTCATTATTGTTTGGCGTGCACGCGGGCCCGACGAATTAGGCAAATCGGAATTCGATACGGAAACGGACAAAAAATTACCCCGAGGAAGAGACGCGCGTCACCGCCGTGCGCGCCAAGGGAAGCGTAATTCCCAAAAAAACGTACGTCAAAAAATCGATACGGAAATCGATTAGCGCGGCGGGCACCATTATTGCCCGCCGTCGGTTCCGAAAGTCGCCCGGACGGGAAGCCCCCGCGACCCAAAAATAAAACCCCGCCGAACGGGCGGCGGCCGAAATCCGTGGGCCGGAAGGCGAACACCGCGGCGCGCCGACGGACCGGAGGTCGTCGGGCGCGCAACGGCGTCGTTACCCGCCATTATTCGCGCGCGCGGCACGGCGTTTATCGACCGGATTCGGCGCGCCGGTCCCGCCGACAGATAATAATAATAATAATAATAATAAAAAAAAAATTTAAAACGAACGCCGACGCGATTATTTTTTTTCATAATTTTATATTTAATACTCACAGCGTCGTCAGTTGGTTGGAGTGTGGCGTGGCGAGAAATTCGGCCGGAACGGTAAAGAAATTGGTGCGGGACGACTGAAAACGGATATCTGACAGCACGAAAACTCGGGGGCAAGCGCTCGGCAAAACGGTCGGCGGCGAAATAATAACAAAATTAATAAATAAATATAAATGCTGTGCGCTCAACGGTTCGAAAACAACATGTCGACTGTTGACAACAAAAACGAGGAGCCCCATTGGCCGGCCGGCCGCCGTCGCCACCGCGTCCGTTACGCCGGCAATCCGTCGCTACGTTCCATTAGGTAAACACTAGCAGCCCGTCGGACGGACGCGATAACGCGTGATTACTGATAAGGACCGAGGCCCTTTCCAGAGTGACGTGTGTGACGTGTCTCCGCGCCCGTACTTGCAACGATTGCAACTTTTTTTACCCATAATACATTATTACAATAATATTTTCCGTGAGTGGTCCGCCGTAAAACTATGCGATTGTGATTACCGAAGAGAACGTTAGTATATTTTCTAGAACGTCTACGAAACGCAGTTGGTCTGGCCGTCATCCGTGGTGAATCGTTGTACCATTACACCGGGGACCGTTTTGTCGAGAACACTTCAATGGCGTTCAAACGGGACAAAAAGGAAGAAGAAGATGGTAACGATTTGTTTCAATACTGCACTCAAAGCTTATTATCTATCTCGCACCATACTATACTCTATCTGTGTATTTAAGTCCCTGTGCTTTTTTTTTCCTACTGTTTACTGGGTCTCACATACCTGCATTATTCTGTTGTTTTTCTATGTTGAAAGTGTAAACAAACCGTTGATCTATACTACTGCTGTTCCCACTTCATGTTATATTTATTTTTTTTATCTTTTTTTCAAAATGATTCATGACTGTACAATTCTTCTTCATTGCTCGTCTTTTTGAATCAAATTTTTTATAACAATCATGTTCAAACGTAAAAGTAAATGTGTTTTTAAAGGGGGCAATCCGTATCAGAATCTTGAAAAAACCAGTGTTCTCCAGGAAGCAAGGACTTTCAATGACACCCCGGTTAATCCAAGAAAATGCACACACATTCTCACAAAAATATTGTATATGATAAACCAGGTATGTACCTCATGATTATTTATTGTTTTTAAATTAATTTGATATTAAATTTCAAATTAAAGGGTGAACAACTTGGAACAGCTGAAGCAACTGAAACATTCTTCGCTATGACCAAACTATTTCAATCTCGTGATATTATACTAAGAAGGATGGTTTATCTTGGAATTAAGGTTGAACATTATTAATAATTTCTTTTATACTTTTAAATGTAATAATAACCTTTAATATTTTTAGGAATTAAGTGGAATAGCAGAAGATGTAATCATTGTAACTTCAAGTTTAACCAAAGATATGACTGGAAAGGAGGATACATATAGAGCAGCTGCTATTAGGGCGTTGTGCAGTATTACTGATGTATGTACAGTAAACATTATGATATTAAAATATTTTACTGTTGTGTTTTTTTCGTGTTAAGGTGTCCATGTTGCAAACAATTGAACGTTATATGAAGCAAGCAATTGTTGACAAAAATCCTGGAATCAGCAGTGCTGCTTTAGTGAGCTGTTTACATTTATGTAAAAATACATCAGCTACTGATATTGTCAAACGTTCACTCAATGAAATTCAAGAGGCTTTAAATTCCGACAAGTACCTTTATTGATTTTACTTAAATGTATTTTTATTTTATTTATTTACTTAATAAATTACTTTCATTACAGTGTAATGGTACAATATCATGCATTGGGACTATTGTTTCACATTCGAAAAACAGATCGTTTAGCTGTTACAAAGTTAGTGGCTAAACTTACAAAAATTAATATGAAATCACCATTCGCAGTTTGCATGTTGGTAAGTAGTTTTTAAAGTTATTTACTTTTTTTAAGATCCATTAGGTATTAAAATTAATTTTTGGAATTTTCAGATACGAATGGCATGTAAACTATTAGAAGAAGAAACTATTCCACGTTCCGAATCTCCATTGTTTGAGTTTGTGGAGTCGTGTATTCGTCATAAATCAGAAACAGTTGTATATGAAGCAGCACATGCAATTGTTCATTTAAGTGGTACTGGAGCTAGGCATTTGGCACCAGCTGTGTCTGTATTACAATTATTCTGTTCATCTGCTAAACCAACACTTCGGTTTGCTGCAGTTCGAACACTTAACAAAGTAATTCTTAATAATTTTATCAAACAGATTAAATATTAATATTATACATTTAATTTAAGGTTGCAATGGAACATCCAAGCACAGTAACTGCTTGTAATTTGGATCTTGAAAATCTTATTAGCGATTCTAATCGTTCAGTAGCCACTTTAGCTATAACAACATTATTAAAAACTGGTGCTGAAGCATCAGTAGATCGTCTGATGAAACAAATTGCAACATTTGTTAATGAAATTTCCGATGAGTTTAAAATTGTTGTTGTTCAGGTAATAATTATTTATTTTATAATATAAGAGTTATTATATCTAACAACAAATATTACATATTCAGGCTATAAGGGCATTATGTTCAAAATTCCCTCGCAAACACACGGTTTTAATGAACTTTTTGTCTGGAATGCTAAGAGAGGAAGGTGGACTTGAATACAAAGCATCAATAGCTGATACAATTATAGCAATTATAGAAGAAAATCCTGAAGCAAAAGAGATTGGTTGGTTGTATTTAGATTAAATATTTTACAATATTTTCATCATAATATTAGACAATAATGGATTGGCGTTAACTAAGTATATAGTCTGTAGGTACAATTAATTATTAAATCAATAATGTTGTTATATATATCCTGTTCAAGTTAAGAACCACGGTTGGTGGCCACCAAGTTTTTCGGTGGCAGTCAGGCAACCCCTGTTCATTACCCCCAATTGATCTATATTTTATATACCTGCCATGTAGTGTTGTCATGTGCCTGCTCACAAGTCTGCTAGTGATTGTTTCTTAACTTACACAAGGTTCTGCGATTACCAAACTTAGAGTTGCCATCAATTTTTTAGGGTCACCAATATATATAATTTTTAATGCTATCATAATAAAATGGTTTGCCAAACACTTCGGTGACATTTTGGTTGCAGCCTTAAAAATATTGAGAACCTCTGATATAGATGATAGATTTTTACTTAAAAATTCCATAAAAATTGTATAGGTGTATTGTGATCTATTTTGTATTTGAATTAAATTATCTTAATATCTATTTTTGATTAGGGTTAGCACACCTTTGTGAGTTTATTGAAGATTGTGAACATACCAGTTTGACTGTTCGTATATTACATTTATTGGGTAAAGAAGGACCTCGCACAAAACAGCCATCAAGGTATTTATAGAAAAATGTCATTAAAAAATGATATATTCAATTAATGATTGTTTTTAGGTTTATACGATTCATTTACAATAGAGTGATATTAGAAGGTGCTGTTGTTAGAGCTGCAGCAGTTGGAGCTATGGCTAAATATGCTGCTAACTGTGCAATGCTTCATGATAGTATAAAAGTACTTTTGAAGAGATGTTGTCTAGATGTTGATGATGAAGTCAGGGATAGAGCAACATTTTATAGTCAATTATTGAGTTCCAATAATCGTCAGTTAATCACTGATTACTTGTCAGAACCCATGCATGTAATTTTTACAAACAAAACCATCATACATTTTTTTATTGACTAATTCAACTTAAAAAAAATAATTTCTTGTAGGTGTCATTGCCAGTTTTGGAAAAGACTTGTCAAGATTATGTTTCAAATCCCACCAAAGAACGCATTAATCTTAGTGAATTACCAGTTGATATAGTGGTTAAGAATACTTCTCAAGAACCAACCAGAAAACAGATTGTTGATAATGCCGTCAAACCAGGTAAATTCTACTGTAATATCAGAGTAAAAATATATTTTAAATTAAAATAGATTATCTTGAGATGTCAATCATTAAATTTAAGTTTTAATTATATTCTCATAATTGTTATAAAACGTATACAAAATTATACTTGAAACAACTATACTTTGATTAATTTAGTCATTGGTTATTCTTCATTTGTAGTGAAATCAAATTTAAAAATAGGAGAATATATATACTCACACTTAACTTTTCTAATACTTTATATTTGCCCGCAGCCAAGTGCTTCAAACCAGTTTACACTAATTGACTTATGTTAGATGCTAAATGATGACAGTAGAACAATAGTTGAATCCAATATTAATTTTAATACTTGGGTTGTGCTTTGTAGAAAATTTTTTTTAACAAGTGTTTCAGATTTTGGTTTTAATTACAGTTAAGAGCAAGAAAATAAAAAAAATCAATATTCTACTCTGCGAGTTATAGACCAATTCCCTGAAATCGGTTTAAGTCCATCTTATTTTTATTGCCATCTTAAATTTAATCTTTATTAGTTATTTCTAGTAGATAGTACTATAATTTTACTATAAATTTATTGTGTCTCTTATTTCTTCTGAGTTGTTTTAATTAATATAATTCATATTTTATATTTTTGGTCACTCAAACATAGTTGAAGTAACTGTTGAAAATGTGGACGGCCAAAAATTGCCTAGTCTGATTGGTTTAGACGCTGGTAAACTTTTCTGTTCTTCTGAACCGTCCATGTTGACCGAACCAGAAACTGAGTATGTTGTGCGGTGTACCAAACATATATTTAATCATCATTTGGTTTTACAAGTATGTATAGTAATATTTTATTGTTGTTACTTGCTGAGAAATTAACATTTTAAAATTTTAGTTTGAAATCACTAACACGTTAGATGACCAAATTTTGGAAGATATTTCTGTTGCACTGGATGTAAGTGAAGGTTTCCAGTATTTAAATGAATTTAAGTGCCCCTCAATAAAATATCAAGAAACTGGCAATGTCTATGTTTATTTAAAATTTCCAGATGATTCAGTCGATGCTATTGGTAAATTTTTGTTAAATGTTTGTATTATGTACATCAATATTATTTTTTATTTTAGCAAGTTTTACTGCCAAAATGAAATTTATTGTTAAGGACTGTGATCCCTTGACTGGTGAAGTTCAAGATGATGGCTATCAAGAAGACTATAGGGTATGAACTATGTTACATTTATTGTAATTTATTATAGTATACAATATTTGAATATTAGATTGGTATTATATGTTTTATTTTTTCTATTGTAGCTAGAAGATGTTGAAATGACACTAAAAGATCAAATGATTAAAGTAAAAGTTGGAAATTGGGACTCCTTATGGGAGGAAGCAAAGAGTGTTTGTTTTGAAGTGCAAGAAACTTTTGCATTGCCATTAACTTCTGGAGGTTTATCAGATACTGTCAGCCAAATTATATCATTCCTTGGAATGGCTGCTTCCAACAATTCTGAAAATGTACACCCACCTAATAAATCATCGCATATAGTGAATTTAGCTGGTGAGATATTTAATTACACAAATTCACTCATGTATTTATATCATTAATTCTTTTGCCAGGTATGATGAGAGGAAACTGTAAAGTTCTTGCTCAGGCAAAATTAGCATTATCTGAAAATAGTGTTACCATTCAACTTACTGTGCGTTCAATGGATGAACGAGTGGCTGAACTGGTTGTATCTACTCTCGATTGATTGTTTTATATTATTTTATTCTTTATGTATTTAAAAAAAGATTTTTTGGGTACTGAAACCCATTTTATACATTTTTGTTAGTTATGTATTATTTTACACTTATAATTTTCATAGTATATGCATACCAATAAATGTATTTAAATATTATTATAATTTTTAATAAGTTATCAAATAATATAATGACTTATTAGTAAAATGGTTTACATTTCTATTTTTCATTAAATCCCTAATTTTATAAAAAAAAAGTTAATCATAATAGTATTTTAACATTCAAAAACTGTTCAACTATTAGTGTTTAAAAGCTTTTGTTTGTTTCGTTATAATATCAGTGTACTATTTAGAATGGTCTTGCAAATAGCCACAACATGATGTATATGAATGTACATAAATCAACTTTAGTACCTAATGCCCTAACTACTAGCTATTCGTTTTTTTTTCTGGTTTTTCAACATCTCAAAAGCTTAGTTACAATGTGAATTAAAAAAGTCGTAATATTACATTTGATTGTTAGTACTGGGCCCCTCGTTAGTATGTCGCATGACCTAAATATTCGAAAGTATAAAAAAAATATCGATAAAAGGACGAAAGCATTAAACAATATTGTGTTTACATGTAAGTACTTACCTGAGTATTATATCAGCCGACTAAAACAATTACTCTGGTAAGGTAAGATATACCTATATATTATGCACGTGTATATACCATGTATATTATACTAACTCTTGAATGTTGTAACCTGTACACATATTACATGACAGGTCGACACTTCGTTAACGGAATGGATGTATTATTTTGTTAGTGGTTGAAGTACCTACCTCGCCGATTGATTGTCACTATGCGGCACGACTGTTTGTCGTATTTGTACAGACGAGCCGAATTGTTGCTCTCAGAAACTGGCAAAACCCACAAGTTAACCAACTTCAGCGACCACATAATGTGCATCGCCGTATCGTCATCGATCGATCGTCTTAAGGTTGTCCTACACCTGACACTTTAGTTCGGAGCTAAAACGAACTTGAAATATTCTTACTTATATTTTTAATAAATGAGTCCGTACTCCGATACTAGTTCGGGAACGGCACATTAGAACAGAAAGGAATCAAACTAATATCGGACAAGACAGATTTAACTGATTTTGGAGTGTACGTAAGTACGTATATTTTCAAAGCATTTGGTCTCGATCCAGTTGAACTTTCTGTAATGAATCACTGCAGAGTATTCAAAAATAACTTTTATTGTAGCTCTTAAATTACCATGAATATGTAAAGTATCAAATTAATGTTTTACTCTAAAGCTGTAGTACTTAAAACGCTACAACACAATAACTTGAATAAATTACCTATTATTATGGTCTAAAATCTTAAGTACAGGTACGATTGTACGAACACGATATAACAGACGCAACTTGTGTCCCACCTATAAACGTGTGTCCAGGCGCGGACTGGTTGGGATGTTGGGATGCTAGCACCATCCTTGCCCTAAAATATATTTGCCCCTATCGGTATAAATGTGCCCACCAAAAATTAATCTGAATTTAGAAGGAGAAGGTTAAAATTCTCTGATAAAATCGTAGGTAGATGTAGATCTATTATTTATGTAATAACTAATAAGTAATAACTAAAACAATCATAAAGAAAAAAGAATATATTTAAAGTAGGTAGCCAATAAGAAGATAGGTTTAATTAGTTTGAGCAGCTTTTTATATACATTAAATATACTTTCTTAATTTATTATTAACACAATCTTTATAAGAGGAACTTAGCTCTAATTGTTATGGGGCGGGGGGTGGGGGGGGGGGGGGGCAAATTAATCACAATTTACTGACCCTTAAGTTTGCCGTTGCTTAACCTTGCCTTGCTGTTGTAATCTGGCACGCCTATTTACATTTTTAACGTATTTACAATATTTTATTTAAACAAAAGAAAATGTTTAAATATTTTATAAATAACCTATTGTTTAAAATTTGTTTTATTTGCCCTTTAAATTATGTAGCATCCCTCGCCCTTTTTTACCAGTCCGCGCCTGCGTGTGTCCCACCTATAAGTGTGTGTCCCATCTATAAGTGTGTGTCCCACCTATAGCGTTTCACCCCACACGTCTATATGGCGACGACGACCACGGTACGGGGCGGCGCGCTGATGTGGCCGACGGCGTGTTTCTGGGGCGTGTGTGGCGTGTTTACCTTGGACATGACTTACAACCGGTTCGACCGATGGTTCTCGGCGTCAGTGCTGGCGTCGGGAGTGCTGAACATGGCCATCACTCCGTGGAGCGTGTGCGTGCTGGACGGCTGGTGCGACGACCACCTGTCCACCACGTACCTGCGGCTGTACACCCGACTGGTGGCGTTTACGTGTCTTCTGTCCCGGGCGACCATTGTGTACAAGGTACGCGGACACCTGACTGGTTTCAGGGGCCGGGAGGAGGTGTACGAACAGAGCTGGCCCACGTCCGGGGCTCGCCGGCGCCGGTACCGGGCGTACGCGTCGTCCGTGGTCGCGGCGTACCTGGCCCTCGTCGTGCCCATCAACCTGACGCGGCTGTACCTGCTGTACCAGTACGAGGAGTACGGCGACTCGATGCTGCTGCTGTTCTTCTTCAACATGTACCTGCAGAACTGGAGCATGTGCTGCTTGGAGACGCACTTTGTGCTCCTGTGCTTCGGCGTCTACCTAAAGTTCCGAGCCATCAACGACGAGCTGTCGGCTGTCCGGTCGGACGTCATGGTCAGCAACAGGTATCCGGTGGCGCTCCGGACGTCGTCGCCGGCGTTAGTGGCCCCGGCCACTTCCGTATTGCTAGATCCGCGTGGCCGGCCGATGGAAACGGCCGTCGAGGAGCTGAGGCTCAGACACGGGCTGACGCGTGAGTCGGTCGAACAGCTCAATAACATGTTCGGTGGCCAACTGGCCCTGTCCCTCATCACACTGTGCGTCATGATACTGTTCGACATCTACAACGAGGCTTTTCACGTGGGCGGCTCATATACTAGATCGAAATTCATCTTCGGCTGGATTCTCCAATACATGTTCCGGTTTTTCGTGATCGTCATCACGGCACACAGCACCACCCAAGAGGTGAGAGTGAACGATGTCTGCGACCACTGAATATAATATATCATAAATTATAATGATAGCGGTATCATTGGTCAAGTCAGATTTCGACGGTGCATACTAGTTGCCTCCCAAAATATACGAATTGCTTCTCGTCCTTATCGTAAATAAAAAGGTTACTTTACACTAGTTGCCTCCGATGACCAGATTGTTCATAATTATATACGAGTTGCCTCCCAAAAAGTTTCACACTAATTGCCTCCCATATAGAATTAAGTAGTGCCAGTAGTGGTTCATAAACTTCACCAAACAGTTCCACATAAATAGATAATGTTTATACTTTATTCATTATTAAAAATATCAGACTTGGTTAAAACAATAATAATATAAAAATAATCAATAAAAATAAAACATATTATAGGTACTACTTATTAAAAATATATAGTGCAGTTAAAAAACATCAGTCTTAAGTATAATATATATAGAATAATGTTATAATAGTTTTTGGTAATGTTTATTCGTTATTAAAAAAATCAGACTTGGTTAAAAATAATAATAATATAAAAATAATCAATAACATTAAAACATATCATAGGTACTACATATTAAAAATATATAGTGCAGTTAAAAAACTTCAGTCAAATAATAAATCAATAAGTTAAACAAAATAGTAAGTAGTACCTATTATTAGTCAATAAAATAAATGTATGGTAATAATAATATAATATAATATAATCACCGATTATATTGAACGCACCATAGCTCCGCATGAATAAAAATATTTTGTGAATCCGTAACTCCGCATGCACCGTATCTCCGCACGGTCGAAAATACAAACGCACCGTATCTCCGCATGGTTGAAAAAACGAACGCACCGTAACTCCGCATTCTAAAAATATTTTAACACCAAAAGTTCCCATGCCTATATCGGTGTAAAGTAAAACCATGTTGAAATTAAACTATTATATCTGCAAATAGCAATATCTTATCATTATTGTGTACCGATTAATTTCTTGTGTCTTTGTAACTCAACGAATTGACAATGATCACTGATCAGTTGTCTATCAGGTTTAGATTTCAAATTTATTTTATAAAGTTTTACTTTTACATTTAAAAATGGCAAGTGAAATAAGTTTTATATACAGTCAACGAAAAAATGTGCTGTTAGTGAAAAATAATTATAAATATTCCAAGTATACAGAATTAAAATCAGGCGAAACTGGATGGAAGTGCATACAAAAAACATGTAAAGCAAAATTATACACAATTGGCGTTGATAATAATTTTTCGAGAGAATCAGGTACACATGAACACGGAAATATCGAGACCAATATTATTGTTCGACAAACAATTAGTAATGGTATAAAACGAAAGGGACTTGATTATATTAATGATCGTCTCTCCAAGTTAATAAAACTTGAAATAGCTACTAATGTAGTAGCAGCGTCAACTTTAACATGTAAAGACACAAAATTAATAAGAGATAGCATTTCTCGTGAACGCATACGAAATTTACCGAAGCTTCCAAAATCAATTTCTGAAGTACATGAATATATAAATAACACTAAGCCGAAAACAGTAAAAGACGAATATTTTATTATAACAAATGACCCATTAGATCATATAATTATATTTTCATGCGATTCAAATTTAAATTTTATGTGTAATTCTCAGACCTTATACGTTGACGGTACATTTAAATACTGTACGAAATTTTTCCATCAATTATTCAGTATTCATGCATATCGTAATGGAGTATTTGTACCAGTTGTATTCTGTTTGCTTTCAAATAAAAATAAAGATACATATCTAGCCATTTGGGAAATACTTCAAGAAAAATGCTCATCATTAAACAAATGTTTGCAGCCAACAACATTATAGTGATCGATTTTGAAACAGCAATTCATTCAAGTGTGAAAGATATATTTCCTAATATAAATATAATTGGATGTCGTTTTCATCTTAGTCAATCATGGTGGTACGTATAGATAATATATTTGTAGGTATAACTTATACTTATTAATTATTTTTAATTTGTTAATAGGTGGAGACGAATACAAGCAGTTGGTCTTGTCCAAGAATATAAAAACAAAG